ACTTCTGCCACTTACAAAATGAATGACCTTGAGCAAGTTATTTGCCCCATCCTAACTCAGTTCCCTCAGTATAAAATGGGGGAAACACAACTTTCTAAAAGGTGGATGGAGAGCAGTGCAAGCACTGACCCTGGCATGGTGGACACGGGTAGTAAGTAGTAATTTGGCTTCAATGGTGATCATTTCCAGCCAGAATTGATCCAACTAGGAAAACCTGGGCTCCTTCTTCTTCCCCAAAGAGACAAGCCCCACCTGGATTTATATATATTTCTATTTGGTCCCTTACCCTGTCCCAGGACTAAGATGCAAAAACCTCCACACAATAACCACTATTCTCCTTCCAAATCCTGGTTCTTCGCTTTTCTTCTTATCCCCCACACAAGTGTCCACACAAGGAATACAGCAAGAAAGGCAAGGACTTATAACTCGAGATAGACTGTGGTCAAATAAGGTAGAACTTCTTGACTGCCAGTCTGATTCAACTGTGGAACACACTGAAAAGGAATTCTTGGTAAAATGTCAAGTAGGGAGAATTCAAGGCTGGGAAAGGATTACATGACTTCTTACTGGGACTGTGAACCCTTAAGTTAACGACACCCTGAGCAAAACACTTCCTCAATCAGAAGCAGTCAGTTACCGATACTCCAACACCAAGCAGTGGAAAGGATCTAATGAAATGACAGCCATGAGCATCATTAAAGGAAGCAAAAGGAGGAAAGGAATGTTCCCTTCAAGCTTTCTTCTCCCCAGGAAAGAAGACACAAATAGCTAGGAAGTATCAATGGCAACAAACAGGATCACAATGTTTCAATTAAATAGCACAGCGCTGTTGGAACTTTATAACAAAATACAGCATGCACTGGTAGTTGTTTTTATTATAGAGAGGCAGGATGGTATGGAGGTAAACACACACACACACACACACACACACACACACACACACACACACACAGGCTCTGGAACCAAAGTGTCTGAAATGTATTCTAGCTCCTGTCCTTAACTAGCTGTGTGACCTTGGGCAAATTACCTAACTTCTCTGTACCTCAGTTTTTACCTCTGGAATATAACAGGTACTTACTTGTACTTATAGTCAGCAGGGTCTTTTTTTTTTTTTTTTTTTTTTTTTTTTTTTTACAAATACTAATTTCTAAGGTAGACTAGTGCTGGGTACATGACTAATGGTATATAAGTATTTGACAAATAAAAATGTTAAGATCCAGTACTCATTCAAAATAGTTTATATGCAATCTGGTACTTAAAAATTGGTACTGGTATTGCTATGATAAATCTCAAAGAGATCTTTATTTTATGTTGACTCCTAAGAGTCTGACTTACTGACCAACACATCCTTCTGTTGATCATGGAAACTGAACGGGTCTGAAACCCAGAGGTCATTCTGACATGGTGAAATGGAAACTGAAGGTTTTTAACACAGGTCATTAAACCTTAATCATCTCCACAGTAAATGCAAGTAAAATGAACACATTTTTTATTAAGCATCCACTGTGGCCAGTCACTTCCCAGTCTGCGGTATTTGATTTGAAGGCACGGGACAGGATTGTAGCTAGCTCTGGCTTCTGCCACACAGCTGAATACAGTGGCATTAACTTAGTGAAGCCCCTTTGACCTTCTCTGGTCCTCAGTTCTGAAGGTTCGACAACTTGGTTTGGTACCACATTCATTCATTCATTCATTCATACGCACCTTAATAAGCACCTCCTTTGTGCCAGATACTAGGACAGGTAATGTGGAGGAAACGGACAACACATCATTACAACCCCATCACAAAGCTGGCAATCTGGCAGAAAGGGCAAATGTTAAAAACCAAATGTGCACCCACAAAGCCTGACTGTCGATAAGCTAATTCACGAAGAGAAGAGTTTCCAATAGACTAGATCTGTGTCTAGAAGACCAAGCCATGTCTTCCATGTAAATAGTTATGACTACACAAGATTCAAGCAGAGGAATACATTGTATGAATGGTATCAGGCGTCACCTGGCAAACATCTGACTGTTTAGGACTGTGAATTCTCTATTCTAAGCTTTGCAAGCACCCATCCCCTACAGCTCACCCGTTCTCTCATTCTTACTGCTTTTCTCAAAAGGGCTACAGTCCATTTATTTAATTTCTCCTTCCACGGGGCGCCTGGGTGGCGCAGTCGGTTAAGCGTCCGACTTCAGCCAGGTCACGATCTCGTGGTCCGTGAGTTCGAGCCCCGCGTCGGGCTCTGGGCTGATGGCTCAGAGCCTGGAGCCTGTTTCCGATTCTGTGTCTCCCTCTCTCTCTGCCCCTCCCCCGTTCATGCTCTGTCTCTCTCTGTCCCAAAAAATAAATAAACGTTGAAAAAAAAATTTATTTAATTTCTCCTTCCTGTATTACAGTCACATACACATCTTGCTTCACCAAATTTCTTCAGCTATCATCCTGGAGTTTTCCATGTCCTAAAATTTCTTCCATCATGCACCTATAGAAATAATGCTATTTATTTCAGAGGTAGTTACACATATTCAAGCTTTGTAGAAGCTACTAGTTTAAACCTCAGAGGGCAACATTATTTCTGTTATTTTCATGTTTGGGGTTGGCATGGTGGGGCAGAAGGAGCACTTAGGGCAGATCTACACTGAAATTGTTGCCCCATAAACTCTCAAAAAAAACCTCTCATTTAACCTGTAAAATAATCCAATGAGGCATAAAAGTTAATTCTATATGAATCATTAAAGCTTACTACATACCAGAATGGGCAAGGCATTATACAAAGGGCAAAATTAAAACACAACTTGGCAGGTTCATAGTCCAAGTTCAGCGGTCATTTGTTACTGGCGGTTCTATGACCTATAAGCAGCACTTGAGATAATAATAGAAAAAGTGCACCCACATGAGAAGTTTCAGCCAACATGCAGAACATCAGTAAATAAATATTTGACCAAGACAGAAGTAAAATATCTTATGTTATTTAATTTCACACAAAAATAACATCCATGGTAAACTAAAACAGACAGGGCATGTCTGCAGGGCATTGTGTCAGCAATGTCAAGGTTTTGTTTTTGTTCTTACCGGTCTACCAAAGGGTCACAAGCAGGATACTCAGATATGATCTCCTTGGTGCGTTCACTTTCACCAAAATAGATGGAACTAGTTCATCGACCAGAATGCTAGTTTATTTAGCCATAATTAGGGCCCTCTTTCCAGTGACTAAAATTCATAGAACTCCCAGAGTTTCAGAGAAGCCACACAATCCCAAGTTACATTCATTCAATCTGCTTTACAAATTGAAGCAAGAGCATTAGAGGAACTTTCCACTGAATTTCCGTGGGAAAAGGTGAAATGCTGAAGATTTTTAAAAAGGTTTTCAAATTGTGATCACACATTAGCTTGAATGTAGTCTATGGAGAAAATGTAATTCAATAGGGTAATTATTTAAACAAATTCTCACTGGGTGAACTTTTAAAACAGGTACTCTAAGCTTAAAAAGAAATGTTCTGAGGGGCGCCTGCCTCAGGGGCTCAGTCAGTTAAGCGTCTGACTTCAGCTCAGGTCATGATCTCGTGGTTTGTGGGTTCAAGCCCCACCTCAGGCTCTGTGCTGACAGCTCAGAGCCTGGAGCCTGCTTTGGATACTGTGTCTCCCTCTTTCTCTGCCACTCTTGTGCTCACGCTCTGTCTTTCTCTGTCTCTCTCTCAAAAATAAATAAACATTAAAAAAAAAAAATGTTCTGGGGGCTGGCTCAGTTAAGTGTCTCACTTTGGCTCAGGTGATGATCTCACAGTTCATGGATTCAAGCCCCACATCAGGCTCTGCACTGAGAGCTCAGAGCCTGGAGCCTTCTTTGGATTCTGTGTCTCCTTCTCACTCTGCCCCTCCCCCGCTTGTGCATGCTTGTGCACATGCACTCTCTCTCTCCCTCTCAAAAATAAATAAATAAACATTAAAAAAAAAAAAAGAAGGAATTTCCTATGCCTGTCCACTTCTTGGGTACAGTGCCAAGGGTCAGCACATGGCCTGGAACTTATTAGGTGCTCAGAACTATTTTCTGAGTACAGAAATGAATAAATACACTCCTCTGATCATTACCATGAGTTTAAATCTAAGAAAAACAATAAAGGCAAAAGTTATCTGAGTGTATATAAAAGAATAAAATCTTGCTCTTCACCTTGAAATATGAATTAATTTCCACCACTAAAAACAAAATCAATGAATAAAACATAAGTTTTTACAAAGATGGTCATAGAATGCTATTAATTCCAATCCATTTTGTGCAGCAAACCTATATAAAACCTTGATACGTTTACCTCCATGTATGTAGCAACAACTACAGAATGTGAAAGATAACTTATTTAGAAATGGCCTCATAAATGGGGCACCTGGGTGGCGTAGTCGGTTAAGCGTCCGACTTCAGCCAGGTCACGATCTTGCGGTCCGTGAGTTCAAGCCCCGTGTCGGGCTCTGGGCTGATGGCTCAGAGCCTGGAGCCTGTTTCCGATTCTGTGTCTCCCTCTCTCTCTGCCCCTCCCCCGTTCATGCTGTGTCTGTCTGTCCCCAAAAAAATAAATAAACGTTGAAAAAAAAAAGAAATGGCCTCATAAAAATGACTACACATGAAAGCATATGTATATTACATAAAAGCACTTTCTATCTGAAAACCTATAATTAAAAGACCACCAGGCAAAAGTAACATAATTTGGGCTGTATGGAAACCTTTTGAAAGCTGGTATTTTCAATATTTGATAGCGAAACTCATTCATGGCCCCTTTCACATCATCATCGTTTAGCACACCACTGAGACATTTCCCTAACACCAATTCTGTAATTATAAAAAGACTTGTGTGCTGACTTCACCACAGACATTTGTTATAAAGTACCTCATCCCCTTGTAATTCCTGAATATACACACACACCTGGTGATGCTCATTTGTTGTCTACCATTATCCTAAATTAATATGGTTTATGTTAAGACACTGAAAATCCACAGAGTAAGTTTAACAGTCGAGACAAAACTTACCAAGCACAATGACGACAGTCTTCAGAAGACTCATCATGGTATCCCGATTCCGCCGGGGTCCAGAACTATGCCGAGACATTCTCATAGTCCTCTGGCGAACATAACCAAAGATATGAGCATAGAGAACCACCATTACGACAAAGGTCACCAAGTTGAAAATGGCCCAGAAGACTAAGTAAGAGTCACTGTAGAGGGGCGCCATGTTGGAACAATTTTCAATATCACAGATGCAGTTCCAGCCCACACTGGGTATAGCGCCCATAACGATGGCCATAGTCCAGATGACCACAATCACCACCACGACCCGCCGGTTGCTCATCCGTGTGTGGAGCTGCATGCGGAAAACCGTAATGTGCCTCTCAATTGCGATAGCCAGTAAGTTGGCCACGGACGCTGTCAGGCTGGTGTCAATTAGGCCCTGGCGGAGAAGCCACGTGCTGACAGTCAGTCTCCGAGTATTGGGTCCTGTGTTGAACATTAGGTAGAAGTAAGCCAACCCAGCAAAGAAGTCTGCAGCAGCCAGATTAGCCATTAAGTAATAAATAGGAAAATGGAAGCGGCGGTTGACATAGATTGCTACCATGACCAGTAGGTTGGCCAACATTATGAAGATACAAACAGTGATTCCAAGTCCCATCACCAGCTTGCTGACTGTGTTCCATTCTGTGGCAAGATACTTTCCACTCCGGTTATAAAAGAAGGCAATGGACTCATTGTAGAAGCACTGTGGTTCATTCATGGCTGTGAACTAAAAGAGAAGGGGAAAAAAGATGAAAAAGAAAGAAAGAAGAAACCACAGATCCAAATTTAAAGATGTATAGTATGGTAAATGTGGCAAAAAAAAAAAAAAAAAAAAAGCAAAGAATTTGAAAATCTGACCCTGCATAACATTCTATTATTATGTTGAAACCCCAAGGCTTTTCACTGTATTACTGCCCTCAAGATTAAAGACAGTTGGAGTTAAAAAAATGACAAGGTCTGTGCTTGGTGGCTGTATGTCATTGAAGTCTACTAGAAAAGCCACATGGCCCAGAAATCTTGCTTAAAATACATGAGACAGATGAAAACTTTGCAGAGAATTGCAGTTGGAATATTTACCATAGTGAAACCTATTTTGACCTGTTATTTAGGGAATCTATAAACATAGTTGGTTTACAGATAGGGTATTATTGCCCTATTATTCTTCATTTCTGTTCTCACATTGTATGTTCCATCTGTAACAAACATTTTGTAATGCAAGTCCCCACAAAGACCATCAGCACCAACATTTCAAAGAGGTCACTCTGCATCAAAGCTTCTTAGCCCAAAGCCAGCATTTGCTGTTCGACATTCCTGTGGTCAGCACTGTCTACCCCCATGACTCCCTATCCCCAGAATAGCATTTGTCAACCAATCTATGACGTTGGAGGACGTTTTTCTTTTTGGAGCACATAAGAAATATGTTATCTGATGTAACCTCCAAAGAGCAGTTGACACTTTGACACTGCTCTACAAAAAGTGAAGCGTGCTTCAGGTTTTTCTAAAATGTGAAGTGATCATGTTTTATTGGGTCTTTTCTTATTTTGCAACATCAATTCGAATATATTCATTTATTAATTATACTCACTTGAATCCAAAAAAGGACTGAACAAGTGTATAACAGAATATAGGTAGTCAATAAAACTACTGAAACAAAATTAGATAAAGTAGCATAAAGGAGACATGAGAAAACTACACATCAAAAAGAATAAATCACTTTGCCTGAAGCCTTCAGTTTTTCCGAGACTCCTGGAATCAGAAATTATTTAAGACAGCTCACATCCTTTTTCTTTTTTATCTTGTACGTTTAATAAATGACTTAGCAAATACGACAGTTTCAACCACCATTTTTGACCAAATGTTCCACTGAATATCTACAGGTTTGCGCATAAATGTCTACCGAAAGCTGAACATTCTGGAACAGTGTGAAATGCTTATTAAATGGTTAGTCTTCTGACTTGTCCAGACATTTAAAGCCTCTTATTTAGACTTTAATAGCTCTTAGATCATGTTTCTGTCATTACACTTACCACGTGTATTGTTATTTATCACCTGTTTCTTGAGATTGTCGCCCAAGAAAGGAAAGAAGACCTTGTCTTACACATTTTGGTATCTGATGTACCTTCCAAAAGTTTCGTTCACTGGAGATCTGAGAACCTGGCTTGCAGTGTCCCATTCCACCCCAAATCTTGCCAGTACTCTGGCTATTTCATCTAGTTTTCTTGCCTCTCAGTTTCTTGACCTCATCTCTAATGACCTGCTTCTATTCCATTACAACTCAGTTGCCCATTCCCATGGTCACACCCTGCACTTTGTGACCACTCAGAACTGTCTCCCTTTGGAAATAAATTATATATTTGATTACTGACCACACTTCCCATTTTTCCAATTTTCTCATTTGATCCCAAATATATCAGTTCTTCAAATTCATCTATTTCCTTAAGCATCCTACCTTTGGATCCCTAATGGATTACCTTCCCCATCTCCCCTTTTTTCTTTATATGGCTTAGATTTCATAGTATGTTTCAGCCTCTTTATTGCTAACACAGGAACACATTCCCTTCTTGAAGATTCTGAGGTCAGATAGCCTTCAGAATTCAAAATTTGTCTGGGTTTAAGAACAGGTACACAGTAGATCACCCTTAGATGATGTAACATCCCCATCAAAATTTAGAGCATCATCCCATAATCACACACATTATTTTCTAAAGCAAAATGCATGAATATATACAAATTTGATAAATAAAGGTTATAAATAGCCTCACATAAATTCATTCTGAGCAGGCTTTGCCACTAGGTGACTTTTGAAAAAATCTTCAGTTTTCGGCCCTTCTTGAATTTTGGAAGATAAGGAAGATAAGGAAGAAGAGACCTTTCTCTTTTAATCTACTTGCCTGGATATACTTCCACAACAATTTCTTGGAGCAACCCCAGTCTTGGATGAGTGCAGTTGGTTGCCACTTCCACACCGACGGCAAGGCTTCTGAGCAATGTTAGAGAAAATCAACACATCTGGCAGATTGGTTCTGACATAAATTCATAAGTCTAACCTCATCTGAGACTTCAGTAGCACAAGAAGTCTGTTTTTCTCCCTAATTGTTATTCTCTACTTTCTCCATAGTGACTAACTTAAGCTCACCTACTGTTCTCTTTTGAGTCCCATCTTCCCTCTTTTCACAGCAATTGCCACAGGAGGAAAACAGAAATCATCAGACTGGGACTCCTTCACCCTTCTCCCAGCAAAAAAAGACCTAGTCAAGAATCCATCCTTTCTCCTTCTGTTACAATGGAAGGAGTATACCTTTTATCATCCAAGTGTTATGTGTTCCTACTATTTCAAGAACTTTGTTCTATAAATTGTTTTCTTTCTCCTCCTTGTATCTCCCCCTCACTCCTCCTTCTCTCCCTCTCCCCTTAATCTTTCCTATCTACATTCAAGTAAGTTTAGTTTCTGCAAGGAGAGGAGAGGAGAGGAGAGGAGAGGAGAGGAGAGGAGAGGAGAG